GAAGAAAGGGCGACGATGATGGGGATTCTACGGGAGCAAACATAAGTTGTACGTAACCGCTGGTGGTACTTAACTCATCGACGACGATGAGTTTGAGCTTTGGATAAACAATTTATTTACATAAATCGATAACCGATAAATTTTCACTAGACAAAGTATATTTTCTGTATATGTTGTGTTTATATTCAATATATTTTCAGTATATGTTGTGCAAGACGAGCATCATAATCTTGTGCAAGACAGGCATCAGAATAATTTCAGTTTATGTTGCGTTAACATTCAGTATATTTTCAGTATATGTTGCATTTTTATTTACATAACTTTTACCATCTCAGATGCCCCTATTTCGCATAACAAGATCACGATTAATTTTAGATATCCTCGGCAAAATAAGAGTTTCTCACCATTTTGTCCAGACGACAGAGCTAATAAGAACCACGACAAAAAATCAAACATCCATTCATAAAAAATATTCAAAAATTACAACATAAAAAAAAAAAATGCTAATATACTAAACATAAACTATACATAAACATAAAATAAACATTGAAAAAAATCCAGTCAAAACTCTTCAAATGTCGCCGCTGCTCACAAGCAGGATTGCCGTCGCGTACTGAGAATCTGCCTTCCCGAGATGAGCCCTGGCTGCTGTAATGCCCCACTTTGATTTTAAAGAAATTCCAGACTTTCAGAAAAATAAGAATAAATTTTTCAAAATGTATTTCAAACATTTGTGGCGTTACTCATATATTTCAAATTACTTCAACGACATAACATCAATTCCATAACATAAATCATTTAACTCCCAAAACGGGATTCATAATCCGTAAATCATTAATTTGCCCAAATCGGGTTCCCCAAACAAAACTCAAAAGTTGCAAGACATAACAATATCAATGGGGCATCTCCCCAATAGTATCTCAATACTTCATAAATTCTTAGAGCTCGAAAGTTCATAAATCATAAATAATCATAAGTATAGCGGAAGCAAAATCAATTAATAACCGGTCTCATAGACCGACTACCACTCGCTCTACTCCACCGTCGTACCGGCCTTGCTTAACTTGAAACGTTAATTTCAGGTGGGGATGAGAACAATTGGAAATCGTAGTGCTCACCACTATGCAATAAACATTTTCATAACATAAACAGTAAAAAAAATAGTATGATCACAGCATGTATAATAATCAATTAAGTACTCCAAGTTTTCAACATAAATTCACAGTGTTCAAACTCATGTGCACATCTATACCAATAGACTACTGCCGGTAGATGTATCGAAGGCCCTCACTGGGGTCATGCTTCGAATGCCGCTCTACATCTATCCCCCCCGTTCTTATACACCGAATGCCCCTCGAGCTTCTATCGATGCCAGTTAGTAGGAGTAACCCCTCGGGTTTATTTTCATTAATACGGGGACAACCATTCGACGGCCGGTACATCTCACATCGAAGGCTACATGATTTGTAAGCACACACTGATCATACACAAGTAAGGCACAATTTATTGCATAGACAATTTTAATAAAACCCACCTGGTCGAAGCGACAATTCACAATCACGATTCTCGAAAGTCGGGTGAGGTCAACACCTCAAAATACCTACATTAAGTCAAGATACTAAAATCAACACCTTATCTTGACTTAAAAAGGAAATCACAATTATTCTTAGTCGAACTTGATTCGACTAAGTTGTTCGTGAAGTCCTGTGGACATTGGAACACTTAGACTCGGCTCTAAGACTCAACCAAACACGCATGGGAGTTCACATAATCTCAATCAAAGATTTACCAAAACAAACAGACAAAGAATAGCATGCGAGTCGGTTTACAGTTTTTAACACAAAAACTATATTTTCGAAATAAAGCCGGTAATTCACATAATCAGGTTGGTCAGGTTACCAAATGAATTAGACTCCAAAATTTTAACCAACAATCAAACTCACTGGACATAGAAAAACCACTAAATTTCAGCCTTTAACTCAAAACACATAATTTTATAAAATTCGAACAAGTTTACAGCAAAAACGTGCATAAATCCATAACCCTACTTAATGATCGAATTATGACTTAAATTTTTAACACCAGCAGATAGAGCATGTAAATAACATCATATAAAACTTTCAACTATTAACATAAAACATGCGATTTTTAAAAATTAAAACAAGTTTCTGCAGATTTTGAATTTTAACAAAACTGAACCAAAATAAATCTAAATAAATCTCATCTTTTTACATACGGAAGCACATCCCAAAATAAGCATAGACACCAAAATTCAGCAATTTACCACTTCAGATCAATTTATCAAAATTAATTTACGGATCTTCATAATTAATTAAACAAAATTTAACCCTAGCAAACGAAATCCAAAAATTCTGAAAATTTTACACAACATCTAAATCAAACAGGGAGACAACATACTCAAATTGCATCAGATTTGGAGCACGACTCAATTTATTATGCAATTAACATGTTTCTGCCTAAAAATTAATTTAACTAATTAAAATAGCTACAGATAATATTTTAATCTGAAATTTTTATACAACATACATATTCATCACAGGAATCTACACACAAAGTTTCACATCGATTGGACAAGTATGCAATTTAATACGAATTTAGTACCAAAACAGCCACCAAACGAGTTCAACAATTCACATACGACACATAGTACATGATTCTCGTCCGAAGCCTTCACCATAAGGCCAAGACTTGAAATGGTTTCATAATCCACAGCGACTAATCACGATCTCACATGATCTCACTCGATTTCACAGAATCGAGGAGACTACATCATAAACAATTAGAAATTTCATCTATTCAAACTATATATCAACAAGGTCATATAAACATGTACAATACATGATTAACACATCATATAAAGATCGAATAGGATGAAGTTTAAAGCCTCGGTACCTTCTCGAGAACACGTTCGAAAACGGGACAAGGAGGCGAACGGGGACGAGGACTATCACACGGTGGCTAGCGGCGGCAAACGAGGCGGCAATGGCTCGTTGGCGATGCATCGTCTCGCGGAGGAGCTGTGGCTGAAAACGAGTCGTCGGGGACATGCTGGTTCACGTCGGGTGGAGTGCAGCGGCGACGTGAGGGTGGTCGAAGTTGCTGTTGGCTCACGGCGATGGAGGACGGGCTCGGCAGACTGGTTCTCACCGGCGATGCTGCGAAAGCAAGGGTTCATCGGAGAGGCTTCGCAGATGGAGGTCTGAAACGGCCGGCTTGGAGAAACAGTGGCCCTACGAGGAGCAACGCGGCGGAGGGGCGCTGCGAGGTTTCGCCGGTGGTGACCTGCTCGCGGCGGCGGGGGCGAGGGGATGACGCGGCGTGGCTGAGACGGCGCAGAGACGAAAGGGGCACGAGATTCGTTCTCCGGTAAGATCGACGGAACACAGAGCGACGGTTGGCAACTGCTCTTCACGGCGGCGATCGGTTGAGAGGAGAGGATGAGCGATCGTCTATGGCGAGAAGAAGGGGAAGAACGATGACTTGCGAAATATCTTTTATGTATTGCTCGATGCTAGATCGAGAGAGAGATAGGAAAAAGAGAGGGCTGTGCGGTTTGATTTGCAAAAGTGAGCGTGAGATTGATGTATGCGGGATGAGATACACGAGGGAACGAAAGGACCGAATTCTATAAATTAGGGTACCCTATCTTGCTTCTCAAGATATATAGGAACGGGTCGGTTTTGGGTCTTGGGTGCGCGGGTCATGGGCGCCAGGTTTTTGGTGCGGTTCGGGCTCAATATAAAAATCCAACTATATATATATATATACTTAACGCTCGGCAAATAAATACTACAACCGGAAACATTAAATAAATAAATTCGGCAACATATATATATATATATTTATTTATTTATTTTTCGCACGCTAATAATATATATCATCAGACAGTTATTTCACTTAGGCAATTTAATAAAATAAATAATAATATTAATATTGCTAAAAATATCCAGAAAATTCATAATCGAGCGGCTTAGATTCAATTTACGCGATTATCCCGAAATCGCCGAATGACGAACGTTTGTCACTAAACGATCGAGCATTTCAACCTTTTATTTAAGTCGACATCGCGACTAATAAAATAAATATAACCTTATAAATAGTATTCGATAAATAGAATATTCCGAGAAATTCTATAAATCGAACGGGGCACTACAGCTGCAGCTCACGGCGCTCGTCGCGCCGCCTTGGACAAACTCCGTCAGTGCTCAACCCTCCACCGCGGGTGCCCAAAAAAACGAGTTCCCCCCATCCTGGGCTGACGTTCGCCGCCCGACGACCCCGCCACTCATGAGCCGAAAGGGACCGCCGCACGATCCTAGTCGTCCGCTTCAGCCGCCGAAACCGCCGTTTGCCGCGCCACTTCTCTTGCCACTCCTCCATCAACGACGATTCTTTCTTCGAGACACCAAAAGAGACACCGAAGGAGAGAAAAAACGGCTGGCAGATGCGCATTTGTAATCGCCCTGTGTAAAAGGAGAGGGTGAGAAGTAATTAGGTGTAAAAGGAGAGGATGAGCAGTAATTAGGCGTGAAAGGTTGATATTATTTTTATTTTATTTGAGAACTGCTCCTAATAAATCTGTTTTAATTGAAGATAATATATTTATGTTGCCTAAACTGAATATATCGTGTGTTGGAAAATAAAATTACATAATTTTGTAAGAAAAATGCTAAAGTATATAATAAATGTACATAGATGTGTACATAACACTCACATGGGGTGGGGTCCACTTGATTTTTATTTTTTGTAGGTCCCACTAAATGTGAGAATTATGTACACGTTATTTACAATATTATGTACCTATTGCATTCTCATTTTATAATTTGACTAAAAGTTATTATTAAATCATAAGAGTGCAAATAAATGGATTTGTTGTCGTCCTTTGAGTAATTTTCTTAAAACAAAAAATGCCATATCCTGATTGGGCTATAGATACAACCCACAATATTTATGCCCAATAGAATCAATTAACAAAGAAGCCCAGCCCAAGTTATCCATCTCTCGGCGGCTCATGCATCCTTCTCGATTTCTGATCACTGAAGATGACGACTTGACTTATTTTCGGTTGTCGTTTTTGGCTATCTTTGATCACTCGGGTGGTTGGGGAAGACAATCAGGTGAGACGAACAGCAATCTCTTAGCCCAAGTATTTATCAGATCCTTTTCTCATCAATCTATGTGTTTGTTGGCTCTTGATCTGATTGATCGATTTATTTTCTTTTTGCTCATTTTTTATTGTGGCCTCTTGCTATATTTTTCCTTTGTAATTTTGGTGTTGCTTTTATTTTTGCTGATCCAATTTCATCATCTGCCCTGAATTATCCATTTACGCGCTGTGAAATTGTTCTCAACGATTGGTGATGACCGTTGATGCCTTTTTTCGCTTTTCTTTTTAATTATTTTCTCCGGGCTAGCATATTCAAATGCGTTCCTAATCCTGAATCTGAAAAACCCATAATTTGTTTCAGAGAATACATGGGATTCCCAAATGATAATCGTCTAAACAATTAAAATAACTTGAAAAGGTAAAAACAAAAGAAGTCAAAGTTAAGGCGAGAAGACCAGAATTCACCATTGTTGTCTTGATCAATGGATGGAGGAGGAGCTTCTGGTGGTGGCCCGGCGCCTTTCCTAATAAAGACATACGAAATGGTGGATGATATGAAAACAGATAGCATAGTCTCATGGAGCTCAACAAAGAAGAGCTTTGTGGTGTGGAATCCACCTGAATTCCAACGTGTTCTCCTCCCTTCCTACTTTAAGCACAATAATTTCTCGAGCTTCATCCGCCAGCTCAACACCTATGTATGTTTACTACTTCCCTCTTCTTTGTTGATTGCTTATTTTTTATTTTATTATTATTGTTCAACTTTAATTTTGGTGTAGATGTATCGGAGTCATGGAAATCATTGAGGTAAAATCACAGGACTGTGTGTAGCCTTAGAGCGATAGCGAAATGGACCTGTGAAAAGCAAATGAAAATGTATAGGACTCTTGAAACTACTTGTACATGTCAAGCTTGGTCATGCAAGTTACACATTCTGCAAAGTTGTTGAATGGAACTACCCTACATGAAAACGCAGTTCAAGTCACACTTTCAGTCTCGTGGAATATGCAATTCCCAGTTCCTTGAAATTAGGACGAACTTGTCGTGCTTTTCATTTGTTATAGGCCTAGATAAAATTTGGTGATGTTTTACAGTTGCGGACTATTTTGAAAATCTCACATTTTGCAGGACAGTTGTTAATTATAGTGATAATTCTTCATTTGATATTTGTTGAGGAATTTGGTTTTTACTCATTTCAGTATCTTTAAAAGTGAACTGCATTTCTGATATGCCTTTTGAGCTTACCCCCTTTCAGTATTTCCTCTCCGCTCTTCATCATGATAGAGAGAAATTACACAGGCGAGAGAGATTATACTTTGAAATATTAGATTGGCCTANTTAAAAAAAAAAAAAAATCCACAAATGAAAGAACTAAAAAAAGGGAAAATAATAAGAAAAGAATTTCACTGACCCGTTCCATTTATCGAATATATGTGCTAAAGCAGTGTATACACTATACACACATCTGTCCTAGGGATTCAGGAAAGTAGACCCCGAGAGGTGGGAATTTGCCAACGACGACTTCATAAAAGACCAAAAGCACCTCCTCAAGAACATCCACCGCCGAAAGCCCATCCACAGCCACAGCCAGCCTCCGAGCCCGGCCGACCCCGAACGGGCCTCATTCGAGGAAGAGATCGACAGGCTGTCCCGTGAGAAAGCCCATCTCAAGGCCAACATTTCGGGCTTCAAGGAGCAACAATCCACTGCAAGGGCTCAGCTCGAAACCCTAACCCAGCGTATAACCAGCATGGAGCAAAAGCAGAAGCAGCTCCTGAGCCACGTAGAAAAAGCACTCGAAAACCCCGATTTTGTCGAGCACCTGGCTCGGAAGCTCGACTCCATGGATTTCTCTGCGTACAGCAAGAAAAGGAGATTGCCCGCATCCAATCATGAGGAAGTGAATGCACTCAGGCTCGAGCTTTCGCCAGCTGTCTCGGATGTGAACCTGCCTTCTCACAGCACGCAGAGCTCGAACGAGGAAGTGAATGTTCGGGCCCCACCGGGCCTGGAGCTTTCGGACACTGGGGCTTCGTTTACGCGGAAGATGGACTCTCTGTCATTCAGATCTGGGCCCGGGAGCCCGACATTGCTTTCCCTTAATTGTAATAATAACGTGAGCTTGAATGCTACTGATGGTGAGGATGCGAATCTTTCGTGCCTCTTGAATCTCTCGCTTGCATCTTCATCCCCATTGGAGGTCAATAGTAAAAGCCAGAAGTCGGTTGGGGAGAATAGTGAAGGCCGTGATAGGGCTGCTCTCGTGAAGGATACAACACTTGGTGGTGCTGTTGATGGCGGTCGAGATTTGTCTTCGGCTCGCGATGCAAATAACAAGAAGGTGGGGCCCGTGATGGTTAATGATGTGTTTTGGGAGCAGTTTCTGACCGAAAGACCTGGCTGTGCGGATAATGAAGAGGCCAGGAATGCGTAAAGAAAAAAAAAATCGGTGCATTTTGGTTCGTGGGTGTTGGAATTTTCCATAACATGACGTTTTATGTGTGTAGAATGATGTAATGTGTTTCTTGAACGAATATGCTTAGATAATCTTTACAGTTTACACTCAGCAAGAAGAGATGTGATTTTAGTAATAAAAGTAGAATTTTATCTTCTAATAAAGTGTCTTGATTTTAGTTTCTTTAAGAGGGTCATGTTCTTGTATGATCGAATCAAGTGAAGTAGATGGGCTGGTCTATATACAGTTTGTTCTTACTGAGTACAATAATTTTATCATCTTCAGCATTGAAAGTTGAAACTGTATGTGTTATTCAGTTAGATGTTAGTATTATGCTTTTCAATTTTTTTTGTGTTCAAATTCAACTTAAAAACAGACTTGGACTAGAAAATCCAATCAACTGGCAACTTGAAGTGATCTTAAAACCAAAACAAAGACATGTAAACCAACTATCATACATTGGCAAACAATCTGTATGTTTCTGCGTCGAGACTAATTTGCCTAACGGCCGCAACTGCTGCTATAACCCCGAGCACCGAAAAAACCGAGGCTATGGCTGTGTTAAGCCAGAAAATGAAACCCCTCTTTGACGGCTTGAACGTGATGTTGAAGAAAACAGCTGGCAACACGAAATCGAGCGGCATGAAACCAAATGCCCCAATCACCGCATTTATGTCCCCGAAAAACGGGAGCATTGCAGCAATTGTAGTCGAGATGACAATTGATATGGATCTTGAGATTACTCTTGGGACCACATTACGCATTGAGAACTCACCTCTCGTGGGGTCCGCAAAAGCCCGCTCTAAAACCTCGTTCGTCGGTTGCAGGTAAACCTTGCCATTGCAAACACAACACACACTACAAAGCTTCAATAAAACATGAGAAAAA